GAGCGAGCAGTTCTGCTGCCCTCCGCACCCCTGCGCGCAGTAGTCGGCCAGACTGGGCTGGCAGCATGGTCAAGTTCAGGGTGAGAGCGTCCACCGGGGAGGCCTGCGGGGCTGGCACTTGGGACAAAGTGTCTGTCACCATCGTGGGGACCCAGGGAGAAAGCCCCCCACTGCCCTTAGGCCACCTGGGCAAGAAGTTTACCGCGGGGTGCCGGGGAGAAGAGGTGGAGGAGGCGGAGAAACCACTCTCGGGCACACAAACCTTCCCCCACCCCGGGGAGGCGGACTTCGAGGTGACCCTTCCGGAGGACGTGGGCCCAGTGCTGCTGCTTCGCGTGCACAAGGCGCCCCCGGCGCTGCTCCGCCCTCTCAGGACCCTGGCCCCCGGTCCCCGGGTTCTGTCCCTGGTTCCAGCTGGAGCAGCCGAGGGGCCGAGGGGCGCCCCGCTTCGATTCCCCTGTTATGAGTGCCTGGAGGGGACGGGGACCCTGGTGCTGCGGGAGGGCTCAGGTGAGGGGAGAGCGAATCGGGTGGGGTGCGAGAGGGACAAGGGAGGGGAAGGGTGCTGGTGTTGGGGAAGGACGAGGGAAGTGTGGAAGAGACCCGCTGTGGCCGCTGGGTTGGGGCGGAGGAGGAGGTGGGAGAAGGGAAGGGCGGGGACTCCTGGAACCTAGTTCTGGTGGCAGAGATGGAGGGAAGATGGACTAGGTCTAGAGGACAGGGAGGTCTCTTCTTCCCTTCACACCCACTCCCTCTCCTCACAGCCAAGGTCTCCTGGGCTGACCACCACCCTATGCTGGAGAACCAGCTCCAGGAGGGGCTGCAGGCCAAGCAAAAGATGTACCGGTGAGGAGGGGGATAAAGGGGGCCATGATAGGATGACAGGCAGCCTGGGACCCCTGGAACAACAAAGACTAAAAGCCCTGTGTGGACCCTTCCTATGAAACGGTATTTCTGGGACCCGCACCCTCCACATCACCCAGGCACCTGCTAGGATTGTCAGTTCTCAGGCCTCTCAAACCTACTGACTCAGACCTTGGGGGAGGGAGGCAATCTTTATTTTAACAAGTCTTTCACTTGACTCTGATTGCCCATTAAGTTTGGAAGTCACTGCTCTGAATGCCATACCCCTCCTTACTGTGGGGATTTTTCACACATCAGTTTGTTGTATCACTCTGGAAGAACCAGAAATACACCACTTAATCCTTAGGAAGCCCACCTTCTGAGGCAGGCAGGTAGTGAGAAGGGGCTGGCTCTTTCTCTGCTCTTGGCTCAGCATTTGGGATCACAGAAGGGAGATGGCCTGAGAGGCTGTGCTGGCAAAGGAAGAAACTGTGAATGTTCTGGGACCATGGGTGAGGATTCCTGAGGCAAAAAACAAACAAACAAACAAACAAACAAAACAAAACAAAAACAGGAACTACATGCAGGTGAGGATTTTCAACACCTTGATCTTGGTCTTGGCTGTCTGAAGCTTGGGGTGCAGACTCTTGCTGCGTATGTCTGGGTATGAGGCAGCCACAGGCTTATTTGGTTCCTGGTGTCATGAATTACACCCCTGAGAAAGCCATTACATTAAATGTCACAGCAACAGCCCCAGAAGAGGGGGCAGATATTGAGGTCTGTGGTATCTGTGGCAACCCAGGGCCAGTGAACTATAAGATCTTGGGCAAGTCATTAATTATTTCTTTGATCTTTACTTCCTTTTGCAAAAAAAAAAAAAAAAAAAAAAAAAGTCCCAAGAATACCAATCTCCTTAGGGTTATTGGGTGGAATAAATGAGAAAATAGTTAAGAAAGTAGCTGATCAACTACCAATTCCTGCACAGGTGTGTTCAGTTACTACTGTTCTATCCTCAGTTCATTCTGTTCTCATGTCCAGGTCTTGGACACCTAGTAATGTGGTCCCACAAACTTGCAAACCTTTTTTTCTTGTTTTCTCTTCGATATTGGGGATTGAACTCAGGCCCTTGCACTTGCCAGGCAGGTGCAGCTCTGCTGAGTTATATACCTGGCCCAAGATTGTAAATTTTCAACACTATTTTGTGATTTTTAGCAACATTATTCATGACTTGATTGTGCATTGCTGGAGTGTAGATTATAAGTAAAATATAGAGGTTACCAGTAATAGTATTTCAATCTACCTAAATGTGTGTGCCTGTGAAGAGAGGTATTTGTTGTTAAGAATACATGTAAGTGCTGGTTGTGGTGGCGCATGCCTGTAATCCCAGCACTCAGGAGGCTGAGGCAGGATTGCTGTGAGTTCGAGACCAGCCTGGGCTACATAGTGAGACCCTGTCTCAAAAAAACAAACAAACAAACAAAAAAGTAAGTTTTCTTATTTCATTATTAAACTTGGACTTGTGGTATTATTTCACAAAATAATTTAATAAGTTAAAATATTAAAAATAAATGAAGTTTTGTTACTTATCTATGTCAACTATATCACATATTTACATGCAGCCCAAAACAATTCTTCACTCAATGTGGCCCCAGCAAGCCATGAGGTTGGATGTTCATAGTCTAAACCCTCCTAACACAGCATACTTGTCCCTCAGAAGCAAGTGAGAAAATGCAAGCTCTTGGGCCCATCCCAGACCTGATAAATCAGAATCTGCAATTTATCAAGATCCGAGGTTACTCATACATGCTGTAAAATTTGAGAGGTAGGGTTTGTCCACCATCTGGTGGCAGTGTACTTGACTTGCAAATGAAATTTGAATCCCAGTGGCATTTTTGAATGAACCAAAGAATGAATGCATGAGAGAAAAACAGGCTAGGGGTCTTCAATTTCTGGAACATTATTTTGCCAATTAACCAAAGGTCTTTGGCTGTATGGCTGGCTTGATAATGGGATTTAGACATGCCTTAGACCAGGACAGAGTAGCTCCCCTAGCTGTAGCTCCCCTAGCTGTGGAGGCTGGTATGCCTGCCAAAATGGACTGAAACCAACAGAGCACCCCAGCTTCAGGATAGCCTCCCCTCTGTGAACTGCATCAGTGTTAGGAACGGTGGGGTTGAATGAACAAAAACTGACTCCAACTAGCAGGCAGATGGAAAGCTTGCAGGACAGAGATACTTACAGAGGTATATATAGGAAGTGTAGCCGGATCTCAGGCCAGAAACTAAGGCAGTTCCCTTCCAGGTGCTTCTCTTTTCCCTCCCTTCCCTTCCCTTCCCTTCTTTCTCCTCCAGTCCCCTCCTGTCCTCTTCCCTCCCTTTCCTTCTCTTCCTTTCCCTGCTTTTCCCTCTAGATCACCTTCCTCTGGTTCCCAACCCACATAATGGGAAACAGTCATAGCTCACATTCCCTGTGTTCACGTGCTATAGTACAACTATCCAGAGAGAAACCACCTCTCTAATTCAGCCTCCACCTCAAATTCCCTGAGAAAGACTCTGATTAGCCCAGCTCTGGTCAAATGCTTGACCATGGGCTAATCATCATGATCACGGAGAAGTCTTACTGTGAAAACTTGCAACTCCCTTGCAGTCTTGTGGGCAGAGGGGAGGTACAAATCCCAGAGAGGTCCTTGCTCAAAGAACAGGGAAGGCCCTGACCAAGACCCCCAAGGGCACTCCCCTACTCTGGTCCAGGGGCTCCCTGGGGCCTCTTGCTGATCACCTGCCTGTTCCACCCTCTAGCTGAAAGACCTACCTCACAGGCTGGCCTCACTGTCTGAACGAAGAGACTGTGAAAGATCTGGACCTCAATGTCAAACACTCTGTAATCAAGAAAATCAAGTTTTCCCTGAAACTGGGTTCTGACTGAGAATGTCCACCTTGTCTTGCCCCAGGGTCTCAGATGTTCTATCACCCCTGTTTCTGCCTTCCCCTGGTTAGCTTCCCACCATCAGTGGTACAGGTCACATAGTCCTGCCTCCTGATAATTTCCACAGGACATTGGTGACCTTAGGGGCAGTGGTTACCTCAGACCCTGGAATCTGGTTTACTATCTGGGTTAGAATCCCAGGAGAGACTAGAGTGATTAACAGGAGAGGGGTCTCCCAGGGCCTCTTGCTTCCTTCCAACTCCTTGCATCCCTTGGCAGGTTTGCAGAGCTAAAACTCAAGGGGCTGCTGGACTGCAAAGGGCTTTGGAGGAGTCTGAGGGAGATTAAAAGGATGCTCAACTTCCAGAGTTCTCCAGAAGGTGGTGAGGAGTTTGGGCCAGGACTCCTGACCTCCTCCCTTGGCCATCAGCTTCCATGGCTATCCCGAGTCTTGGAAAACCAAGCACTAATTCATTGTGTGACTCTGGGCAGGTCCTTACCCCTCCTAGACTTTACATTCCCCAAAGAGACAAAAGGAGATGTGAACGGGAGTGATCCCTGATCCTAATCCAAAAGACATTTCTTGAGCTACTGTCCATCAGGCACTGGATTGGGGCTGTGAACACTGCTTGAGTTCACAGTCCCCACAATAAAGCAAGCCAGAGGTTATTAATTAGACTCAAAATTGTATCATTAGTGTCACTTGCAAGACATGCTCATTGGCTCCAGGAGTGTGCAAAAGCTTTCTCAGAAGGTTGAATAGGCATTAACAGTGCCAAGATGGGACATGGGGCAACAAGCATTTCAGGCTAGAGGGTAGCAAAGAGAAAGGCTCTGAAAACGGATGGATCGGGTACCTTTGGAGGAAACCAAGAATGCTACTGTGGCCAGAGCAAATTAAGCAAGAGAAGGAAGGTCAGAGGGGATGCAGAAGAGGTGCCCAGGGCCCAGTGGTGCAGGACCATGTGGGCCATGTGAGGAGTAGGACTTGCCTCAGTGCAATGCCAGGCTATGTCCTGGTGTCCAGCTGGGAAATAGTATGGACAAATATGCTCTGTGGGGTAGATAAAGCGCAACAGTGGAAACAGGAGGGAGAGCTATGATCAGCAGAGGATGGTGGCCTCAGCAAGGCAGTGACCATAGGGATTGAGTCATAGTTGAATCAAGAGGCAAGGAGGGTGGAGAATAAATGGGACTCGATGCGGGGAGGAGGGGCTGCCAAGGTAAGTCTCAGGTGGATGGGGTTGCTGTTCCCCAGGATGCCAGGCAGTGGGAGGGGCCTGAGCTGGAGGAAGAGCCCACATTTGAGTTTTGACATGTTGCATTTGAGACGAACGAGCCATCAGGGAAATGTCAGGGAGATCTTAGAACAGCAGGCTGGGGACTAGTTTTCTGACTGGAGAGAGGGCAGTGGCTGAAGCTGAGAGGCCAGGGGAGGTTACTCTGAGAAAATATGGGGTAACCAGTTTGGGCTCAGAAGGGAACTTCACTGTGAAAGTCAGGAGGAGATCTGTTGGAGCTGGGGTGATTGGTTCCCATGTTCTCTCATCCCCTGCAGAATACCTATTTAAACACTGGCAGGAGGACTCCTTCTGGGCCTCCCATTTCCTGAATGGCTTCAACCTTGTTCTGATCGGCCGCTGTCATTCACTGCCAAAGAACTTCCGTCACCGATGCCATGGTGGCCCCAGTGCTGGGCCCTGGAACCAGTCTGCAAGCTGAGCTGGAAGTGGCTTTGTGGGTTCAGGCTCTTTACAGTCTTATCTTGGTGTTGTCAGGGTCACGCCCTGCTGGAGAGGGAGAATGCACTCACATTGTTAAGGAGCTACTGTGTGCTACGTGCACAAACACCATCTCCCAAAACAAATTCCTCTCCCAACCCTGAATTTCATCCTTCAGAAAGCCAGGTGGCAGTCCTACCTCCCCTACTATCTTCCACAGAGGGCTCCCTGTTCTTGGTGGATCACAGCATCCTCTCTGGGATCCAGACCAATGTTTCAATGGGAGGCCTCAGTTTTCAGCAGCCCCAATGACCCTCCGTACACCAGCACCCAGGAGGACCTTTGCTGCCCCTCTCCATCCAGGTCTGCTGCTGGGCAGAGGGCAGGGTGGGGGTGGGAAGGGTCCCACTGAATGATTTGCAGACACCCACAGCTCCCTTTCCTCCCACTGGTCCCCCATTCCAGCTCAGCCAGACCCCTCGCTGGACCCAACAACCCATCTTCCTGCCCAGTGATGAGAAGTGGAACTGGCTGCTGGCCAAGACCTGGGTGCATAATGCTGAGTTCTCAGTGCATGAGGCACTCACACACCTGCTGCATGCACACCTGCTACCTGAGGTCTTCACCATGGCCACACTGCATCAGCTGCCCCACTGCTGCCCGCTCTTCAAGGTTACTGGCTCTGCCTATGCCTGAGTCCACAGACTCCTGTACCTTGCTCTGGCCCTCACAGTGCCTCTCTGAGCAACCTCTCCAAGGTGGCCCTGTCATTCTAGGCTGGGACGCAGAGTCTTCATTGTGCTGTGGCAGCATTTTCCTGCAACTGGGACCCCCTTGTTTGAAGGCACTGAGCTGGAGGAAAGGTGGATACTGTGCCCCAGAGAGGCTTCCTTCTTAGAGAAAATTGGATGGGATTGGCTACTACTGAAGAAGCCCAAATCCTAGGACAGGGGAGACCTGGAGCTAGCAGATGCAAAAGTGGACACAGGGCTTTCAGAGACCAATAGGATTTTTTAGGCTTTTTCCAGGGTTGGGAGAGTCCTGAGTGGGTTCTATAGGTGCCCTGCACCCATGGAGCCTTCAGGTGACACAGATTCATTTCTCCCTCAGACTTGCATCTCCTCTGAGAAGGGCAGGACTTTCCCCTCCCCAGCCTGCCTGGGATCTCTGATCCCTATTAAAATGGTCTCCTGAGCCGTGGATGTAGGCTCTCCTTTGTGCTGTTCAATCTGGCCATCTGTAACTCCCAGGGCCTGGCACTCAGAAATGGGATCCGTGGGACAGTTTCACACTGCCAGGCCCATGGTGCTTTGCCTGCCTGTGGGTTAGAAAAGCATGGTGCTCATTAAAATTGCACCCTCATTTGATAAAATAATCTGGTATCTAATGTGCCTGGGAGGCAAAGAATAAGATGCTGGAGGATTTCAGCTCTCATCTCTTGGTCTGGAATGCTGACTAGACCTGGCTGTTCTGAGGCATTCCCACTGATCCCTATTATCTCTTTCTGGGTGACTTATAAGGCAGATCCCTCTCTGGGGAAGGTCCAGGGCCATCTCCAGCTCTGCCATCTTCTGCCTCTTATAGCTGCTGATTCCACATACAAGATACACCCTGTACATCAACAAGCCCAAGAGCTGCTCATTGCCCCTGGGCAGGTGGTGGACAGAGTAAGAGCTGCCTTAGGGAGGGTGAGGGGTTGAAGTGACCTTTGGGTGTGCTACCTCCTGCTTCTGGAGAAAGGTGCTGGTGCCAGGAGTCCTATCTCCCAATCCACAGGCCTTGGCATTGGAGGCTTCTCTGAGCTGATCCAGAGGAACATGGAACAGCTGAACTATTCAGTCCTGTGTCTACCTGAAGACCTCCAGGCCGGAGGAGTTGAAGACATCCCAGGCTACTACTACCGAGATGATGGCCTGCAGATCTGGGAGGCAGCGGAACAGTGAGAGGGCTGTCCCTAAGGATCCAGGCTAGGGAATGCAGGAAGGAGAGGGAGGAAGAGTGCCGGGTGTAATGACAGTGGGCAGGGGCACTTCCCAGAGATGATCAGCACTGGAGGCAGGAACCGAGCCCAGGTGTACCCTGCAGCTTCATCTCTGAGATAATTGGCATCTACTACCCAGCGATGCATCTATCCAAGATGACTAAGAGCTCCAGGCTTGGGTGAGGGACATCTTCTCCAACGGTTTCCTAGGATAGGAGAGCTCAGGTATGAGGACCTCTGTCCTTGAGCCCTACACTTAGGCCTCTGCAGATAGGTCCTCATGACCCCAGCAGCCCAGCCTTGCTCTCCCAGCAGGTATTCCCTCTTCACCGGACACCCAGGAAGGCCTGGTGCAATACATCACCATGATAATATTCACCTGCTTGGCTAAGCATGCAGCTGTCAGTTTAGGCCAGGTAGGAGCGGTCAGAGCTGGGGTGGCAAATGGGAGAGGGTGGGCTCCTCAGCTTCATTCTGCCCTCTCAGCCTTCAGTTTGACTCCTGCGTTTGGATGTCCAACCTGCTGCCCACCATGCAGCTGCCACCACCCACTTCCGAAGGTCAGGCAAGGCCTGAGGGTTTCATAGCCACCCTCCCCCCAGTCAGTGCCACAGGAGACATCATTAATGCTCTCTGGATGCTGAGCAAGGAGCCTGGTGACCAAGGGAGTACGGGGCTGGCAGTCAGGCCAGGCCGGATAGAGGCAGGTCAGGTGTTTCTTTCCTTCCTGGGCCCTCAGGCACCTGAGTCCTATCACTCCACTGAAACATCCCAAGGGGCATGTGAGCTTTGGACATCAAAAATAGCCAAATAATATGGTGATATGAGGGAGTCATCCTTACTACAAAGGCAATATGAGATTGTGCTCCTTCAAAACTTGGAGAGCTGAGCATGGTGGCACACACCTGTCATTCTGTATTCAGGGAGCTGAGGCAGGAGGATCACCATGAATTTAAGGCCAACTTAGGCTACAGAGTGAGTTCAAGACCAGCCTGGAATGTACAGTGAGACATTGCCTCAAAAAACCAAAAACAAGTTAACAATAAAAATACTAACAAAACCTTGGAATTAAAAATTCTCAAGAGCTTCCTGCCCATTATCTTCACTTGGAAAAGATAGTTTATGGGGAGGGACCTGGATTAAGCTCAGTGGGAGGCTGCTTCAGGTCACTGGGGTGGGAGCTGTGGGCCAGAGCTGACTAAGGCGGGCCATGGGCTCTCAGTGGTCCACTTACCTGTGGCTGTCCTCAGAGGCCATGTATCCAGATGAGCACTTCACAGAGGAGGCCTCGCAACGGAGCATCATCACCTTCCAAAGCTGCCTGGCCCAGATCTCCAGGGACATCAAGGAGTGGAACCAGGGCCTGGAATTTGGCCCACACTTACCAGGACCCCAGCTTTCATGGAGAACAGTGTCTCCATCTAAATTCCCAGAGAACACATCTTTGTATGACATAGGCCTCTGTGACCACTTCACTCTAGACTAACTGGAATCCAGAAAAAAAGGACTCCTCAGAAAAATAGGTTACCAGGTGCCTCTTATGGGGACCCTCTTTTATGGGTGCCACCATGTAACTCATCCCAGTGTCCACACATGTGCACAAGCATACATACACCAGAGAAACAAAATCAAAATTGAGCCAGAGCAATTGGGAGACTGAAGGAGGTTCACAAGTTCAAGGCCAGCCTGGTCAATTTAGTGAGATCCTGTCTCAGAATGAAAGGGCTGGCAGGGAGAGGGTGGGTTAGCTAGTGGTAAAGTACTTGACTAGCATGTCCAAGGCCCGATACTGTACTGCTAAAAAAAAACAAAAGCCAGACAACAGAACCTCATGGGACAGTATCACCAAGCCCTTAAAGACTTCACAATCACCTGACTCAAAGGATGTCATCATGTAGGTTGATCAGCAACACAAGAAGTGATTCAGTCTAATCTGACCAAGAGGTTGGTCATGACCTATTTCCCTGCTTTAAAATTAATAAAACATCGAGAAAGGGTCACTGACAGGAAGTGCTCATCTGCTTCCTCAGAACTTCCCCCAAGTGAATTGTAAAGCAAGTTCCATTTCCAGGGAATTAGACAATGTTAATGCAATCACTAGTCAGAACTTGTCTTCTAGATTCTGTCTTCAACAAAGAAATTTCAACATTTTATATAAAATTTTCAATTCTGTTTTTCTCTTTTTCTGGCTGAAAGGGCATTCATTCAAGTAGCAAATGAGCCCTTTTGAATGTACCTAGTGATTTTCATCTCTGTCTCATATTGCAGATATGAGACATATGCTATAGATCTTCAGTTTCACTTATTTTTTATGAAATAATGGGCAAAATGCACAGACAGACTCAATAGACTAGTGCATGTGTACCACCATCAGACTCAATAGACTAGTGCTTTGGAAAGGGCAGCACAGACCTACAGGTGGCATTTGAGCAATTCAGTGCTCAAAATGAGACTGTACCAAAAGTGATTCTCAGCTCTGGGTCTGTTAAAATTCTTCGATTTCAACCAATAAGCATCTGTTACTCATATAAGCCAATAAAGGAATTCATGGGTACAAAACTGAGTGCTTTGAGGAATGAAAGTTAGACTCTACATTCAGGAAAGACCAGAAATCCAGGAACCCCAGGGTAACCAGGGCACAAGAACCAGTGCACATTCTCCCAGACACTATGATGGGAACTATAATGCTCTCATCATTTTTTTTTTGTCCTTGATTTACCTCCCTTAGTATTCAGATTTCGTGTGGAAGGGTCCATTTTACTTACCTTGGAATGGTAGGAACCACGTTACTGCAGAGAAGTTGTGCTCACCACATATCCTTCAGTTATGTTGGGGCTTGTGACTAATTCAGGCCAATGGACTGTGCAAGAAAGTGATGCCTTCCAACACCAGGCAGTTGTGAGCTGGTGTGCCTCCTCTGGCCTGCCACTGTCCTGCAGTGGGTTCCTTGTAGGCATGTTCCAGGTGACACGCACCCCGTCCTTGCCCCTACCACTGGACTGTAAGCTTAGGAGGGTGAGGCTCATGGCTGTGTGCCAAAGTGCCTGGCACCCTGCAGTCTCTCAGTTAGTACATGTCGACTGGAGGAAATAATACACAAATAATACCTAAAATCCTGTGGTGCTCTCATCTGCTTATCTCTGTGTCTCCCTAACTAGACTATGAGCTTCTTGAAGCCATGGACTAGGTCTCATGTGCCACACCTGCCTCACAAGTGCAAGGTCCTGAGTTCAATCCCCAATACTGGAAAAAAAATATTGAGAGAGACAGAGAAAAAGAGAGAGAATATGATGGACTAGATGGATGCTTGCATGGATGAACTGATGAGCTGGAGGACAATGGTGTTCTGGTAATAAACTGGCATATGTTTCAGTGTATGTCTTTGCCTCTGAGCTATCATCTCTTGGAGAAACTGGAGAATCTGAGGCAGTTCAGCAGTGAGAATCCAAACAGTCAATCCCCAGTGCCCAGGCCCTGTGAACCTCTACCCACCCCTATCCCCAAAACACCAGCTCTAGTCCTTGGGCTTTTGGCTGACCAGCCATGAAGAGATTATTATAGTGGGAATATTCAGTTAGCTCTTCAGAGTGGTGGTCCCCTTTGACTAGGGTGAGGACTACCTCATAGACAAAGGAGCACTGGGCATCCAGGCCCAAAGTCATGCTGCAGAGACCACCCTCCTTGGTTGGATCGGGTGGCTAAAAGTGGAGGACCAGCTCCTGGTCTATTGTCCCAGGATCTTGCCTCTATTACCCCAGCTCTTTCAGTTTGGGAATGGGGGGATTATGAGTAGGGAAGAAGGGGTAGAAGACAGAAAGTTCCAGGAGTAGGACAGGAGCCCAGCTTACTCCTTTCCCAATGCTCCTGGATAGGATGGAGTAAGTCAGGAGAGACAGAAGAGGACATGCAGTGGGTAGGAAGCAGGACGTTAGCACAATTAAGGTTTGAAACGATGACGTAGAGGCAAGGGTAGCCAGGCACAAATATCAAAAGCAAGCAACCAGGAAAAAACTATTTCCAACAACGAGTAAATATCTAAAACATAAAGAACTATGGATTCAAGACACATAAGGGAGGAAACGAGAGAGTAGCTCAATGATGCATCATCTATAGACACCCACAAGGTGGAGGCCCAGTCCCCAGCACATACACAAAAACCAGACCGAAACAAAAGAAAAAGGGCAAAGAATAAAACAGAAAATTCACAAAAGACTATTCTTAAAATAAACTTAAGTGTTGAATACATTTGAAGAGAATTTTAACCTCACCAGTTTTAGAGAAGTGTACTCAGGGTTGTTGAGCCTGATATGATCCTGTCACAGTGTAACTTTCAAGGAAATCTCCTTGGAAGTCTCAAAATTTAAAAGCCATATGAGTGTGGTACACACTTATAGTCTCAGCTACTCAGGAGGCTGAGGGAGAAGGATTGCTTGAACCTTGAGATTTAAGACCAGGCTGGGCAACATAGTGAAATCACTGTCTCAAAAAAAAAAATTAATCCAGCAAAATCACCTGTAAGAAGGCATCCTACTGAAAAGGTCCATATTTTCACAAAGAAATGTTTACTGTGATGTTCTATGCAATATACTTATACTAGGAAAAAATTTATAAAATATAAATATACATCAGGGCCGGGGATTTAGCTCAGTGGTTCCACTGCCTGCCTCACAAGCTAAGGACCAGAGTTTGATCCCAGGTACCAAAACAAAACAAAAACAAAGAGTTAGTTCTTTGGGCTGGGGATTTAACTCAGTGTTTCCTCACAAGCACAAGGATCTGAGTTCGATCCCCAGTACCAAAAACAAAAAAACAATTAAATATAAATATACATCAAGATGGATATACTAAAAAACATTAAGAAAAAGTCTTGGGGCCACTGGTATAGCTCAGTGTCTCTGTGCCTGTCTGGTAAGCACAAGGTCCTGAGTTCAATCCCCAGTATTGGAAAAAATAAATAAATGAAAAGAAACAGTCTTACTGTGGAAATAATACCGCTGTTTTATTTATTTATTTATGTAGGGTTTTGGGGAGACAGAGTCTTGCTCTGTAGTTCAGGCTGACCTTGAACTCACTATGCAGCTGAGGCTGGCCTGCAACTCATAGCAATCCTCCTGCCTCAGCTTCCAGAGTGCTGGGATCACAGATGTGCACCACCATGCCTGGCTAATACACTGTTTTAATAACATCAGTCCATATGTGCTGAGATGGGAAAAATATCAATGACATACTGTTCTACTGGGAGAAAATAAGTCACACAATAATAAACAGAATTTCTCTTTCTTTCTTTCTTTCTTTCTTTCTTTCTTTCTTTCTTTCTTTCTTTCTTTCTTTCTTTCTTCCTTTTGTGGTCCTGGGGACTAAACTCAGGACTATACACTGAGCTACATCCCCAGCCATTTGATTTTTTTATTTTGAAATATGATCTCACTAAATTGCTAAATTGTCCAGACTGGGCACAAACTTGTGATCCTCCCACCTCAGCTTCCCAGGGTGATGGGATTTTAGGCATGAGCCACCATCCTCCTGGCAGCAAAGGATTTCTCTTATGGTTAAGAGAAGCTAAGTATATAAATTAAGTCAAATTGAAAGGAAAAAGTCTGGAAGGAGGGATGTGTGTCTTCCTGCCATCAAGAAGAGGAATGGGTCTGTAAGTCTGTCCTTTAATGATATTTAATTTTCTAGGAAAAAAATGTACCATTGCTTGACTTTGCTACTTATTTATTATTTATTTATTTATTTTTTATTTATTTATTGGTACTGAGGATCGAACTTGGGACCTTGCACTTGTGAGGCAGGTGGCAGAATCACTGAGCTAAATTCCTGGCCCCTGCTATTTATTATTAATAAAGGTCCCAGGCTCCATGACATTCACATACCTTGGTTCCAATGGAAACACAAATGATTTCTGTTCAGTAAAAATGATAACCCCAAATACTATAGTTTATTGCTGTATGATGTTAACTAGCTTTATATCTAATCCAGTAATTATACCCCAATATTTCTTCATTATATTGGGCATATGGCCAGCACCTCAACTGTTCTTAGAACCATTTGGAAAATATCTTTAACTTGTATTTATTCTGACTTGCATGGACTGAGCTTTTAATTTTTAAAAAATTATTCTTTAAAGCTGCCAAGGTGGTACATGCCTGTAATCCCAGCACTCTGAGAGGCTGAGGCAGGAGGGTGACTAGTTGGACTCTGCCTCTAATAAAAGGGAGGGGGGTGAGGATGTAGCTCAGTGCAGTCTCTGGGTTCAATTCCATATATATACACATATATTTTTTAAAAGCATGTTGGAGGGAGGGGTCGTATGTCACCCCACCAAGGCCTAGAGCCCCTCCCTTCTTCCTCATAACTGA